ATATCTCTCGTACAGAGCTTGAGACTAGCTGACGCCTTGTCAATTAGTCTTTGTCAGTTTAACTGCAACACACTTATCATACAATAATCTTCACGGCCATACTTTCTCTATTTAAAATCTGCAATATAGGATGACTCATTCGCTAATGTCGAAGAATTACTGTCTGCATGTTTGTAATAAATTAAACTTAGTATTGAACAAGCTTTTATCTTTTGAGTAAACCAAAAAAAACATCGTTTGACTTATCCAACTACATAGATGCCTCATTTTTCTTCGAGCCACGAAAGTGTTACCGATAAGACACAAAACGATAAGTAGGTCCTGTAACATATGTGGGCCCGAAGCTTTGACACAGTGCTACGCATCTAAGCCAGAACTTCCGTTTAAGCAGGTATTCAAATTCTGGCCGCTCGTTAAGTCATGGTACACTTCTCACTCCCGCATTATTTAATTTAAAATTTTACATACTTACCTATTTAATGTCTTCCTTTAAGATGGATGAATGGAAACGATATTTTTTGTCGTGCTCAAGTAAACAATACCGAAGATTGACGATTAACTTCGTTTGCGATGAATTTATGCAAATTTCTGTACATCGCTCGGATATGTTCGCTTTTGTCGTAAAAAATCCTTACGAAATTTCTCGGAAACTCGACTTTAAACTAGACTTTTACCCGACTATCAGACTTTGCCTTGTGTTTATTTTTAAACAATCGACGATTCACCAAACCGATCTGCTGCTCATCTTTCGTACCTATTGAAAATCCATGAGATATGTATTATGCCATACACTGGAAGCGCTAGTTAGCGCGTGAGTCAACATACAATTACTCAATAGTAAAAATAAAATGAAAATATATACATTAATTTTATCTTATCACTTTTAAATATGTATGTCTTACAATCAAGTACGTTATTAGTCACTGGGCTGACCGTGCAGACAAATACTCAATTTCCGGCAACAATCTTCTGATCCTATGTTATGTTATGAAAATATATTCTTATAAACTAAGTTGAATAAGTATTCATACCTACTAAAATAGTAGAAACTTTTTCCTAAAATGTACGATTTGGAACACTTCATCACAAAATATTGTTCAATGTCAAGTTTGTTCGGTGAGAGATGCTCGCCCATACTCCAACGTTTACGTGGAGCGTGCCAAAAGAACTTGGCAGCGATGAGGCGGAAACGACCCAGGGAACTCCGCCACCCGCTGAGCCGTTGACATCGGTGCACTCCCTCATCAAGAAGTCAATCAAATATTCCGAGCGGTTTAACACAAAAATATGATTTTTCGTTCTTTTTAACTAAGGTTTGCTTAATATAGGTTTACTTTGTGTAAATTTTATTTGGTCTTGATTTGGCCATATCCCGACGTGATGACACCATTTTGGTGGCCTCTATATCGATATTCGAAAATTCTGGCACTATATTTCTATAAAAAATTTAAAAAATTACTTATGTTAAAAGAACAGGATATTTAGAACTTCCGTTTGGAACTATATCTGTAGAGCTAATTCTGTCATAATTTTTATTTCAAATAAGTTGTGGAGCGCGGGTAGTGGAGTAGCGTCGGTGAGTGTTGGCGCGCTGCCAGAGCTGCAAGCTGCAAGCTGCCGAGGCGGGCCGGTCCAGCACCAATGCCTTTCCACATATACGCTATCATTGTAATTTGTTGCTTATGAGACGAGCTACATCTTTATAGCGTGTAAACTTAAAAGCACTAAAAATATTTTCCAGTTTCCTTGTTGATTTCCAAATATGAGATTATTTTCTCCTAATCTTTTACCGTAAAACCCACTATTATATTATAGTAATTAAACGAACACCGGGTTAACAGGGTCGTTATCAGTGTACCAGTATGCTAATTATATGGCAAACTGTAACACGTATAATCTTAATGTGTGACTTTTTCATCGTTTACTGGATACAAATAAAACGGAATGAGATCACACAATTTGTTTCCACGGCTGACGTTTGGCGGGGTGACGTACACAACACAAATGTGCCAAAACGAAGCATCACTTACACAGAATTATGACTACCTGGAATGTTCAGGGTTGTTGGTGCATCATTCTTTGATTTAAAACATTTAAAAACTCATAATGTTATAGAGTGATAAAGTAATTTTTTTTTGACGTAATGGTCCAAAAAATTGCTTAATATTCCAGAGATTGTCTCGTTTATGAAATAAGAATATGGTGCGCCGGCGTTCATGAAAATCATTAAGGGTTTCACATAATCCATCAACCAAGCAGTGCAGTGAGAAAAGTTTACGTCTTAAGCTATTGTACGCGTATACTACAAGAAGGTACATTCGAGCAGCGCGTGTCGATGGTCAATAAACTGCGCGCAAATAACTCCCCAGCTCGCCATTACAGAGACGATAAGGAAAGTCCGGGAACAACAATAACGCATCTCGCATCGCAACAACTTGTTATTTTCTCTACACTACTATTATTACTAGCGCAGATTAGTAGGAATATGTAAATAGATTTTTATGTTTGATTCGCTTTTATCTTAATGGTTAATCTGGGATAGTATCGGGTATTTTTTTTATTATCAGAAGGCGGCAAACGAGCGAGCAGCCACATGAAATCGTTGAAATAGCGAAGTGACCGTTGCCCATAGACATATGCAATTGCATATGCGTTGCCTACCTTTAATCGACGGAGGAGAGGATGCACAGAAAGAAAAAATTTTCCCTTTCCATGCATCCTCTCATCCGGAAAGTCCACTTCCACTTCCCATCCTTTCCTTATAAGAAAAGCGTGGGAAGGGAAAGAGGACTAAATTAGGCCTCCGGGACGCACGAAACGCAGAATTTCTTCCACTTCACTCCTGTTTTCTGTGTGGTGGTGGTATTTCACCGGGCGAACCAGGCCAACTCGTGCGAAGATGTTAAAGCGGGTTCTACCACTCTTAAAATATATATCGGGGCCCAAAGGCACATCTGCTTGAATAGTTGCGGATCGCGGGCGCAGCATGTGGCGGCGCGGTCACCTGACACCGCGCCAGCTGCCCGCAGTTAGCCGCGACTCTCGCCACTCGCATCGGGCGCGCAAATCAAAACCATATTTAAACATCATAGCCATCCTATCTGTTTTATATTATAAATACATATTTAATATTACTCTCTTCAGCTTTAGACTCTCAACGTGTTTTAGACTCTCAACGTGTTTTACCCTCATCGATCATCACCAAACTTAAAATAAAAGCCTTACCTATTACCAACTTTTATTATTTTATTAAATTTTCCAAGACTTAGAACTAGACCGTCATGCGTTGACCTAAACTAATCGAATGTTGGTGACACGAGCCCCTTATTTTTAATGTTTGCAGTAGCGTATGGTAGCCGTTTAAAATCTCATTAGCTAAGCCGTAATCCAACAATGTAATTAGGTGTACTATAATATGACACAGAGGACCGTTGTTACACACATATACAAATCCTCTTCACCTCCGACGTGATCATGTTATATTTTGTGTCTAACGTTATTTCTGTACACGCGGTGCATTTTCAATATTCAAATGAACACCAATTTACTAGAAAATGAAGAGATTTAACTCATGACTTGCAAGTAGTTGCAAATTTTCGCAATACTTAATAAATGATGTACAAATATTATGTGGGGGCGGACATGGGAATGATGCATAGTGCGTGGGCAACAAAGGCCACGGCACACACGTGGAGCGCTACGCAACACTGCGACTGCAGCGCGGCGCGGCGCACTTGTCACTACATGAAGAACAAAATAGAAACACTTGACAAACACAAAGAAAACAGCTTTGATAACCACCACTGCTCATCCGTTTTTTGTGTTAGTTGCTTTACATGTTTACACTATTCTAATGTATCTGCATACATACACATAACAACTATGTCAAATATTAGTAAACGTGTATTTCCAGCTTCCAATGGAGTTTTAAGTTTACCTTAAATGTTGTCAGTAATACATAAAAATTGCAGCTTTTAATTTGGATATCCACTTAGTTTTATTGAGCACACCATGCTGTGCCTCGAACCGAAACTGATAACGATTGAGCAAGAAATACTTTATACAGGAACACGAGTGAATTACATTATATTTTAATTTCCACGATAAGGAGAGCTGCCGATAGCCTAATAATGACAATAGGGCAGGGTTTACCGCTCATTAGGCAACGGAAGTGCGTGCCGCGGCCTCGCACCGACACCACACCACATCACACCACACTACACCACACGCCTAACTGACAGTAGTACAATACAATAAATGTCATAATTTATCGCTACATAATGACTGGATTATTTTTGTACGATCACGAGTAATATTATTATTCACATGAATATAACAGTAAGTACGGGTGTTTATTTTGCAGATATGCTTCTGACAAAACTTTATCCGTATTACAATAAAATACTTGTGAATAAATGAAGTGTTAAGGTCGCCACCTGACCCCACCTGACTCCACCTGACCCCACCGCCCGCTATAGAGGACGATATCGCGGACGGATAAGAACAATTTTACATAAATGCATTAGTTCTACAACTGTAATTTTACCGATTGTGTTTCCTATTAAAGCGACTTCAAAAAAGAGGAGATTCACATCGTTCTCTCGTTCAGTCGTTGCCCCCTGCCCCTTGACAATGAGCTCCCCTCGATACTAGCGCGTTCCGAGTCGCCGATCAGGTCGGTCGGTCTCGGGTTAATGGAAAGTGGCAGCGCATCCGCGATAGATTTACTGGCGGCCGAGCGAATTCCTTTCCCAATACATTCCCCTGTACAAGTGTGCATCAACCTAATACATACGATTATTTTTAAACTTTCCATAGCCGAAATCATATATATCAGTTATTTTTTTGTAATTGCTTTCGGCCTAGAAATAAAATTTACGATGCCATTAACAAATTAATAACAAGTTTCCATTTGCAAGTGGTAATGAGGAAACAAATGTAAAATTGTCGGGAAATACACGTAATACAATGATAAGTATGAGATTGTGTGTACGTTGCAGGGAGGAGGTGTGCAACCACTCGGTGCGGTGGAACGCGCAGTTCTCCTTCGTATGCAAGATGTGCGCCAATGCCAACACCGGCGTGCTGGAGCCCGCGCTGCTGCGCGTCTCCGTGCGTAAGGAATGCAAGGGTACGCCACATCACGCAACACCACGCCGCCGTCATCTCTCGCACATTACACAAAAAATAAACAAATGCATCGCGAAATATTATTTTACCTTATTTCGCGTTGTTAACATTTATCAATGTTTGACGTGTTCAGGCGGGCGGTCGTACCAGAAGCTGGGCTTCTGCGACGTGAACTTGGCGGAGCTAGCGGGCGCGGGCGAGGCGACGCGCCACTGCTTGCTCGAGGGCTACGACCCGCGGCGCCGCCAGGACAACTCGGTGCTGCGCCTGCGCATCAAAATGAATATGATATCCGGCGATCCCCTATTCAAAGTGTAAGTAACGCACATACTAACGTTGTAAATAATTGTTAAACTCGAAATCGAATAGATTTGACCAAAAATATCGTTACGGTGAGAATAGAAGCGTTGCCAGCATTATGCAATCATGTAGAGAGATTTGTGTGATTTGCAGGCCGGAGCGCAAGCAGGAGGCGGTGGAGGGCGGCGACAGCGGCGCGGAGAGTGCGGCGCCGCCCGACGACGACTGCGCCTGCTCCACCAACAGCTCCGGCTTCGGCTCCCTCACCAAGCCTCACGGTAAGTCCTCGCCTGCACATTGACGTTGCAAAGTTGACGTTTGACAGACCTTATTCATATTCGGATTGTACAGTTCCAGTGTCGGAGGGTGCGACGCCGCCGACGATAGCCGCACTGGCGGCCTGTGAGCCCCCGCCCGAACAGGAGGATCCGCCAGCGCCGGACCTCACAGGTACGTCTCACGCACACAAATGTATAGTGTATACTTTGTTGGATTGTTTCACGTAACCTGCGAGGAAGCAGCACTGAAGGAAGGGACATGACCGAGTCCCGCTGTACGTTAGGGAATAAACTATAATACATTCATAAATATTCGATATAATGTAAAGTTAATTAGTAACATTTGTTTTTATTCGCAGCGATGTCAGGAGGCGTGGCGACGTGCGCATCGTGCCACCAGCACACGCACTCGCGCAACTCCTCCAACACGTCGGGCGACATGAGCAGCAAGGTGCGCTCACATCCTTATTGTTTTGCACTCTGTGTAGTCTGTCACCACACGACCTTCTCGTAACATTATTCCTCCTCTCCTCAAAATCTGCGGCGGCAGTTATTTTAAATTAAGAAATTTCCGTTTATAGCTTAATCCTTCAAGTCCGATAAAATAAATATAACCATAACATGCAGGCTTCGGGGTACGGCAGCTCGGTGTCTGCGGCGTCTGCGCATTCCCGCCAGAGCTCCGAGGGCGAGTGCGCGCCTGACTCTCGCGACACTCGCGACACTCGCGACACTCGCCACCACAACAGGTGCGCTCTCTCACGCGACACAACACAACACAACACAACACACACGCATACAAACAGGCGCTACACATTTTAGAGCAGACAGTATATCGGGTACAGCGGCCAAGGAAATTAATCCCAGATGTTTTCTGTTATACTATTTTCACTTGTTATATTTATTTTTAAAACGAGTAAATATTAGAATGTATGTAAATGTTAGGTGATATACTCCGTACAATGATTTATTATTTAGTTATAATTTATTTTCCAGGATAGTTTTTATTTTTATTATATAATATTTGTAAATAATTTTCTTCATAATATAATACATAATAATGTATTAAAAAATATGTATCGTAATGAGCCCCGTCGGATGCGAATGTGGGTGCGGGGCGCGCGAGCTGGCGGACATTGGTCGAGCGGAGGAGGCGGCCTGTGCACACATCTTACGCTTCTTTCTCGGTCTTCGTCTTGCGCGTGACTAACGAGAGGCCGCCGCCTGTGTTGGCTTTATTAATTTATTTCATCCCCCTCCCCCCTCCCCCGCCCGGCACCGATCCCGTAGTGTGCGCGTCGAGCGCTCCTGCACCACCAGCACGAGCTGCACGAGCGGCAGCACGCTGCACGTGCCCGCGTCCTCGCCCTCCGGCAGGCACTCGGGCCGCGCGCTCGCCAAGCTGCTGCTCGAGAAGACGCTCGTCGGCGACACCTCGGAGCTCTACCTGACGCCTAACACCACGCTCACCGGCCCCCCGGACGTGATCCCGCGACACGCGCCGCACTCCGCCAGCCCCGCCGGAGAGGAGTACCGCACGCCCGACTCCACCCTGCTCGAGGAGAACACCTTCGCCATGCCCACCTACTTCGACCACAAGCGCAAGGCGGCCGCGGCGGCGCTGGTGAGCGCGGCCGTCGAGCCGCTCGCCAACTTCCACATCTTCAAGCAGAAGTCGCTCAACACCATCCCCGCGCTGCTCGACAGAAGCAGGAAAAGCGAGGAGCTGTTCACCAATTTCCCTTTCCTCACGCCCCTCGCGCACCGCAAGAACTCGCTGGTATCCAACGCGAACAGACTGTCGGGCTGCATCGAGGACGAGTTTTACTGCATCCCCTCCGACCCCGAGGCGGACGCCGAGCTCGCCGACCGCATCGACGTGCGCCATCGCTTCCGCAGCCTCTCCAACCACGCCCTCGACCACCACCTCGACCAGGACCTCCAGACCTCCACGCCCAAGAACGATACCCCCGCGGATGTGATACAAAGGAACACCTTCGCCTCGCAGAGAGCTCGCAAAGTGGAGGTCCTGCGGCACAGCTACACCGACTACACGAGGTGAGTGCCGCCCTCCCGCGCCCTCCTCTGCCTCACTACCGCCCTCCGCATCGAGTAATGTCCGCCGCGTACTAATACAGGTTGTGGGAGTAATTTCATCTTTATGTTCTTTTTTCTGTCTGTTTTTGCGTCTTTACTTGTTTGTTATGGATCTATTTCCTACTGTTATTGAGTATGGTATGGTGGTGGTTTACGGAAATGGTTTTCTTTGTATATGTGTATAAATTAATATCTGTTTTATAAAAAATATACGTGAATGATATTTGAATACAGGCTTAGCTGTATAAAAGTATAATGTGTCGTTGTCTGCTCCGAGTGCCGCGAATAGTAGACATTTTGTTGCAAATTGTGTCTGTACATGTTGTTAAGAGTTAAAAAATGGGTAAGGGTCCGTTCGCACAGACCGGACCGAAGAAGAGACCAGATTTTGATCGCAAATTAAATAGTTTTATACGATTGAAACAAAGATAGGGATCAGCTCCGATTGCTTCCTCTTCCGGCATCACGGACGCCGCACCCGGTGACGGCCTCGACTACGTACTAATGGTACGATTCGACTACGTATTAATGCTACACCGCTTTAGAAGAGCATCTGTTGGGCTCCGAGCTGAGCCGCTTTAAGCGAGCTGTGCTTCTTCCAGTTGGTTTATATGAAATCGGTCGACTCTAAGCGTATAATTTACGCCGGTCTGTGTGAACAGAACGACTCTACGGCCGGTGTGTGCCAACGGACCCTTACGATACATATGTATGTGCACTGTGTGCGCGCACGACGCTCGCCCTCGGGCGGGCGGCGCGACGCGTGCCTAACGAGTACGTAACGAGTGCGTGCGCGCAGGCGGGAGGCGGCCGAGTGCGCAGCGTGCGGCGCGCGTCGCGACACCTCCCTGCCGCGCCGCGCCCCCACCGCGCGGTCAGTCCCCCCCCCTACACCCCCCCACACACACCCCCACACACACACACACACACGCGCACTGCGGGCTGACAATTGTCACTGTGCATGTATGTTTACCACTGGATTCCTCATCCAAACTTTTAAATCTTTCATTTCACTAAAAATAAATTATATGTAACACAGAAAAACATTGATTTCAATAATAAAATGTTACGGTTACTTTGATATTGTTCGTTGACCAGAACGTGCTGGAATAACTCCTACAAATATAATAGTTTAATGTTTCTTCTTAACACGATATATGTGTGTCTACCTCTGACGTGTTGAACTCATCAATACCACGTACACGCACAGTAGTTGTGTACGCAGCACAGCGCGGCCCGCACACACGCACACACTCTGCTCACGTTTGTCATAGATGTTGTTCGTGTCCACGTCGCTTCCCGCCTTTCAGATGATCAGATGTAACTGTTGGTGTCGCTACAGTTGCCATATTATTATTATTTGGATTTATTTTCACATTTCTAGTGATTCAGTTTTTCGTTGCGGCTTGGATGATCTGTTCTTGTATAGTGTCACTTATTCCACCGGCTGGCTGCCCGCACTAGATGTGGAGCAACGTCGCCGGACAACGACTTTGCTTTCTTCATGTAAACAAAGAAGAAATCACAAACCTTCGTATAATCGAGAGCCTGACCGTAGTCTTTTTGACAATTTAGATATTTGTTTTGCATATTTTAAAGTTGCATGCTCTACATAATATGGTTTTGGTAAATAAAGTTATATCTTTATTATTTTTTGCATGAGCTTTGCTGTTTCTGTGTATGTATGTGCATGCATATGTGTATTTGTTTTTTATGCGTGTGTGTTATTTATTTTATTATAATAAGTAAAAATAATTAAAAATCTTAGTAAAAATCTAAATGCCAGTGCCACAAAAAATGATTTTTTATTTTACGAAGAAATTTCTCGAAGAAGGATTTTACTACGGATCAGTATAATGTAAACAATAAAAATTGTGTTGGACAAGGGAGAGATGACAAACACACTAATACATTAATCTCGTGCCTTATGAAGCTTATTTTTTGTGATCTTCGGTAGTTGTAATTATATAGTTATAGTTGTCGCTACACACGTGTACAAGGGAGAGGAGTTTTGTACGAGAGAGAGGTAATCCGACAGGAACCCCTCGTCCGGCTCCCTCACCGCCTCCGCCTCCGAGAGCGGCTCGCTGGAGCGCGCGCGCGCCGCACGCGACCGCAACCGCAAGCGAGCGCCGCCCGCACAGCCCGCGCCGCACGCGCCGCACGCGCCGCACGCACCGCACGCACCGCGCGAGCCCCCGCCGCCTGACGACGTGCAGGTACATACTGCTACACTAACTCATTGTTGTTGATGATTCATTTCAATAGTGAAGCGATGTCATTATGTATAATATTGTTTGTGTGTGGTCAGCACGCGGTGTCGTGTCGTGTGGAGAACACGCGCGTCAACCCCGACTCGCTGATCGACGAGCTGCTCGCCGCCACAGACCTCAAGCACGCCGTCGACGACGCCGCAGAGAGTACGTACATCCTCTTACACCTCGCTCTCCCATCTCATCTCATCTCATGTCACGCAAACAAATTCAAAGTCAGATAGAAAAGAATCGACCATTAATTCTGTATTAACTTTATTGTTATTTACTGAGCCGTATGTACGTGTGCGTGTTGCAGCGTCAGGTCTGCAGCTGTTCATAACGCGGGACGGCACCGCCGAGCTGGGCAGCAGGCAGCGCCAGCAGCTCGCGCGCCGCGACTACCAGCGCGTCGTGCTGCACCCGCACGACAACAGGCACGTACATTACATTCTCATTGTTTTATTTTACCGACACTGTTGCACATTTCATTAGGAAATAAATAAAATACGACAATCTTAATCCAGGTAGCCAACGGCGTGGGAGTGCGGCGGCGGGCGTGCGGCCGCGCGGCGCCGCCTGCCCAGCTAGCCGCCCC